TCCGGGTGCCTTAAGGTGGTAATTGCTTTGAAGGTAGGGCTGAGGAGGAGAGGGGACGAGTCATCTTTATCCCTTACTAACCTGTGACTGAAATTTTATAGATAAGAAGTTGTAAATTACAAAATCTTGGGTGGTGCTGCAGAGGTCCTTATAGGACGTAAAGTCAGTCCAGTCTTTCAACCCAGTTATCAAAGTAATTTTGTTCTCCACGTAATGGCAGGTGTAACCATATTCAACAAAGCAGTGCCGGCTGTGCACTACGCCCTTGGATTATAGTGTTCCCAGCAGTAAGTGCTCTAGCTGAGGGACGGTTTCCATGCAAGACCTAGGTTTTCTAGCACTTTCGTTCTTAAAAAGTTTTTTTTTTTTTCCTAGTTGAAGTTTCTAATGCACAGTTTCTGCCCACAGGCTTTGTTTGTGTGGACTGACTATTGGAAGTGAGAGGGACTACCAGTAGGATCCCCCGGGGGGTTTCTGCAGAGAGACAATGTCACAATGTGCAGTCTGTGAACATGGGACAGTGACAGCTACTGATGTCCACGCAGAACTCACCGCATGCCCCAAAACTGGGCTGAGGGCATACTTTTCGTCCAACAACTCATTTCAGGCCCTAACACGTGAAGCGGGTGTCATTACCCTGACCCCAATATTAAAGAAACTAGAGAACAGCAAATCAGTCATACGTCAAATGTCTCACAACTACCAAATGGTCAAACTGGGATCTGAACCCACATCTCAACTCTGGAATCTACAAGTTTGTGCTTAAACAGCCCTGCCATCTGGGGCTGGGGCTGTGGAGAAGTCTGAGATGCAGACAGGGGCTCACTAAACTGCAGAGCTTTCACCGGGAAAGCAAGTTCCAGAGCAGTTGGCTAGAGTCTTTTTTTTTTTAAGATTTTATTTATTTATTTGACAGAGATCACAAGCAGGCAGAGAGGCAGGCAGAGAGAGAGGAGGAAGCAGGCTCCCCGCTGAGCAGAGAGCCCGATGGGGGGGCTCAATCCCAGGACCCTGGGATCATGACCTGAGCGGAAGGCAGTCTTAACCCACTGAGCCACCCAGGCGCCCCAGTTGGCTAGAATCTTGCCTTACAATCTCCAGATTTCTGGAGCCTCTCTCCTCTAGGCCGTGCGCTGCACACAGAGGGACCCAGATCCCTGTTCAGAATTCTCCTGGGCATGTCCCGGCTGGAAGGAGAGATTATCTTTCTGCTCAGGAGACCTTCAGTTGCTCAATCCTCTTTACACATCTGCTTCACTAGCATTACAGACAAAATCATTAAAAAGCTAGATTTCTAGAGCGTGGCTAACCCCGGAGCTTCAAAGAGTGCTGTTGCACAACCAGCAACTATCCTGAGCTCGCTCAACTGCTCAAGGGCCGAGCCGGACGGTCTGTGAATTACGTCTCAGTAAAGCCGCTTTTAAAAAAAAAGATCAGAAGGAATGAACTTGTATGAATTTATAAGAAAATTCGCAGGGGAGCAAGGGTGGCTCAGTGTGTAAAGCCTTCTGCCTTTGGCCCAGGTCATGATCCCGGGGGACCGAGCCTCGCGTGGGGCCTCCGCCCCTGCTCCCCCTGCTCCCGCTCGCTCGCGCTCCCAAACAAATAAAATCTTGAATCAAAGATAATAAAATCAAACGTCCAAGGCCGCTGCGCGGACAGGGGCCTCCTTGCAGGTGGGACAGGGACCCCGCACAGGCGCTCGCAGCCCCCCAGCCCCGCCCGGGGTCAGGCGAGCGGAGGAGCAGGACTGCAGCAGGTCCGCAGAGCCGCCCTTCCGCCGCCGAGGGGTCGGGACCGGGCCGCGGGCTCCAGGGCCCGCGGGAGAAAGTTTTCCCTTTCCCGGCGGCCCGGCGCTTGCTTGTTGTCCGCGGGGCGGGCGCTGCTCGGGG